GTCTTTTGTAGATTCAATGTCTCACACTTTTGAAATGAGTATGGTAGGGGAGTTGAATTACTTCTTAGGACTCCAAATCAAACAGACAGGTGAAGGAATGTTTGTGAATCAGAAGAAGTATGCTCTCAACCTGGTCAAAAGGTTTGAGTTGGAATCAGCCAAGCACATGAAAACTCCAATGGGTTCCAGCCAAAAACTGTCTAAGGATGATGTTGCAGAAGATGTCGACAGCACTCTCTACAGAAGCATGATTGGAAGTCTTCTGTATCTAACAGCAAGCAGGCCTGACATTATGTTTAGTGTTTGTGTGTGTGCCAGATATCAAGCAAATCCCAAGGTCACCCATCTTAAAGCTGTGAAGAGGATTATTAGGTATGTTGCAGGTACAGTAGACTTAGGGATTCAGTTTTTCAAAGACACAAATACAAACTTGATAGGCTTTAGTGATTCTGATTGGGCTGGGGATATTAGTGACAGAAAAAGCACATCAGGTGCATGTTTCTTTTTGGGGAATAATCTAGTTTCTTGGTTTAGTAGAAAGCAAAACTGTGTATCTCTTTCAACAGCTGAATCAGAATATGTAGCTGCTGGAGGGTGTTGTGGTCAACTAATTTGGATGAAACAAATGTTGGGAGATTATGGGTTAACCAGTGATACCCTGACCATATATTGTGATAATTCAAGTGCTATTGACATTTCAAAAAATCCCGTTCAACACTCACGAACTAAACACATAGATATTAAACATCATTTTATTCGTGATATAGTTGAGAAAAATATAGTGTGCTTAAAGTACATTCCTACAGAAGATCAGCTGGCTGACATCTTTACAAAGGCATTAGATTATGAGAGGTTTTCAAAACTCAGAAAAACTCTCGGGATGTGTACTCAATAAACATGTCCTGAAATGTGTTGCAGCACCTCATCAAATATCTTAAGCTGCAACACAATCTACTGAAGCATTAGCTTCATTAAATAATGACTTCACTGTGATGTATTATTTTCTAAATCAGTAACTGGAAGTCTTTCACCTTGAAACGTGATCATGCTTCATGTAAACATTTAGACAAATAATTACACTCACATAAGTCAAACTCCTCTATTTTGATAGTCATATCTTAGTAACTGATGAACCTTCAAACTGAACACTTGATCATGTTCCATGTGAAATGTTTGACTTGAATATATATATATATATATATATATATATATATATATATATATATATATATATATATATATATATATATATATATATATATATATATATATATATATATATATATATATAATAATAAATATATAAATATACAGATATAATAGTATCTATGCCTGTCAGCAAATTTTTCTCACTATTAATCATTAATAAATGTATTTCTCTATTATTTGTGAATATTTCTTGAGTGCTACGGTTTTATTGATTTTTCTCTTTTCATTTTAATTATCCCTATTTATATGGGTCATGGGTACATGGGTTAATTCCTTATTTTCCACTAAGTCCACTCCTTATTGTGCCATGTGTCACGTTTTTATTTTAAACTGCCAAGGAAATTTTATTCTCCTTAATCACACTCTCCCCAAGAAAAACGGACACCACTTCTTCACCTTCTCCACTTCAATTTTTTTTTCTTTCTTCTTCAGCAAAAATTAGGGCTTATAAATTTCGTGCTTCTTCTCACAAAATTCACACTCAAAAATCAAAAGCACAAAGAAGCAATTTTACTTTATCTACTGTATCATGGCATCCCCACCTAGAAATCCTCCTCCAGCCGTCGATGGTGATGTCCACAACGATGCTGCAGCACCTGTACCAGCAAACCCAAATCTGGCCATCATCGTTCATCCAATCAACTTTGAAGCTGTTCCTATCAGCTACATTGAGCCCGGCGACGAGCTGAACCCGATTGACCCAGACAACTTTGATTTTGTGGGTCCCTCTTCCACCGCCGGAAGATTTCCAACGCGCCGGTCAAAGCGCACGAACCCTTTTCCAGATCTGAACACTGCGGTGCCACAACGCCGAAGAGGAGAAAACTCTCCCCGGAGAGGAAGCAGAGGTGGAAGAAGAGGAAGCAGAGGTGGCCGCACTCCAGTCCAGTCAAACCCACGAAGAGGTCTTCATCTGGTAGATGAAGAAACTGATGACGAAGCAGGGGATCCTACCTTTGCTGCACCACAGGCTCAAGCCTTGTCCTCCAGCTCCTCTGAGTCTTCATCCAACAACTCACCTTCCCCAGCATCAACTCAGGGGGAGACGTCGCAGCCCAGCATGGCAACAGCAGCCTCTCAACATTCTGTTCCTGAAGGTGTTGCTGCACCTGTTTCAGAAGGTGTTGCTGCACCTGTTTCAGAAGGTGTTGCTGCACCTGTCTCTGAAGGTGTTGCTGCACATGCTCCAGAAGATGCTGCTGCACCTACTGTTTCAGCAAATGTTCCTCAGAATGCTGCTGAGGATGCTGCCCCTTATCAGGATGAAGAAATGTCTGATTTCTCTGGAATGTCATCAGCAGAGCATGTAGACATTCCATCTGTGGATGCTCAAGACTTCACCACCACAGAAGAAACTCCATCAGCACCTCATGGAGATCCTCTGGAAACCCTAGCAGAAGCAGCAGTTCAAGCAGATGCATCTCCTCCTCAGGCTGAAGATCCAGAGAAAAGTGATGATAGCTGGGAGGTTCCTCTAGCTGCTTTTCGCAAGAATTTGCCTTCCTCTGATTCTGACAGTGAATCCTCTGAAGACTCTTCTCAACAGGAAGAAGGTGTTGCCCCACGTGCTGCATCACCTGAACCAGCATATGTCCCTGATGAGCTTGAAGATTCAGAAGATGATGATTCCTCAGAAGAAGAAGAACCAGACCTGGATGGGAAGAACTTGTCAACCCCTTTTGAGGTAACAAATGCCTTCAGTCCTAATTTCTATTTTGAGTCTGATTCACTGTTGAGTCCTCAAGTCATGAATTGTCATTTCATTGAGGAAAAGAAAATTTCTAAGGAAGAATTTGATAGGCATAGGATAACAGCTTTTCTTCACCAAAGAAAAATCCTTAACCTAGTTGAGATTGCCTGCTCTTATGATCCCTTGGTTGTGAAGGAGTTTTATGCCAACTTGCAAACCTCATTTTTAAAGAAAAACTCTCCAAATTTTGGTAAAGTGTTTGTGCGCAATGCCATCTATTCATTTTCTCCCAAAATTATCAACTCTCATTTGCAAACTCCTACTGTGATTGATGAGGATAATTATGGTGATTTTACTGAGATTTGCAAAGTTATTTCTGGAAACCGTTTAAGAAGTTGGCCTGCACACCCAAGAAAATTTCAAGTCTCTCAACTCACTGCTTTTTACTCTGTCTTATTTAGACTCACAGTGATGAATTGAATTCCATCCAAAAATGTCTCTGTGGTAACAAAACCTCATGCTGTACTCATGTACAAATTGGGGATGGGATTACCAGTGGATTTTGGTAAACTGTTCTTTGATACTATTGGTCATCTTGCCCAGAAAATTTCACCCTCCACTCATCTTCCCTATCCTTCTCTCATCTACTCCATTTTACTCTCTCAAAATTTGGGCCAAGATGACTCAGAATATCTTCACACCCCACACGGCATGATCACTGTGTCTCAAAATTTTCTGAGGGCTCCTCATGTTCAAAGATCTTCCCTGGAATGGAGATGATTTTCTCTCAACTGAATCAGGTCAAAATAACATTGGTACTGAGGGTGTTGCACCTCATGTTGACAACACTTCTAACCTTCTTGTGTCTGTTCCTAGAGATCTTCTATTGCAGCAGCTTACTCATTCTCTAGCTCAGATTACCTATCATCAGTCCATGGTGGAGATGATTCAGAAGGCTCTTTCTGATCAAAAAGGGGGAAGCTCAAGAAGAAAGCAGTGGATCTAGTGATGGAGGAGGAGCAGCAGCTGAAACTGAGGAGACCTTGGAGACTTTGGATATTTTACTTTAGATTGTTTTCATGAACAATATTTTTTTGTTTGTGTTTTGTTTATTTTCCCTCTGAACTTTTGTTTAGGACTGCACTTTGATTATTTCTTTTGTTGGACTATCTTGCTGAATTTGGTTTTAATTTATTGTTTCTATGTTTTTTTTCAAATGGTATCAAATTCAGGGGGAGTTCGAGCAATATCTCAGGGGGAGTCTTTGACTACGATTTAGTTTTGATCAGAAAGTTAAAAAGGGGGAGTTTGAAACACGTGAATTAATTTCACTATGTGTTTTTAACTTTTCTTAACTTCTAAACTAAATCTTAGTTAGTGGGCTAAGTAGGGTTAAGTAGTGCTTAGTGGATTTAATTATGGAATTTATCTTAACTTCCTAACTAACCCACTAACCCATTATCTTGAGTGCTCTTGTGGTTGGTTTTCTTGCAGATCATGGGCTGAAGAGTGGAAGCTTGGCAAGTCTATAAATACCAAACTCAAGACTCAAGATTAATACAGATTTCGAGAGAACAAAAAGAGAGCTAAAGTTTTAATCTCGAGAATTTTAGATTGTTTTCTAGGATCTGTTTTGTACGTACTCCTTATGAGTACATTCTTTGAAATCTAGAATTTTTAATATTTTTCTTTTAGTATCTAGATTTGATTGTAAGAATGATCTTGAAAAAGATCCATTCATAAGGAAGAAGTTTTTGCACCTCTTCTGTTTGTATTCTTGGAATACTGTTTTTAATATATTTTTTCCGTCCTGTAAAGGGCAAGTTCACAAGTCTTTACTTGTGAACATTTTTAATTCTGAGTATTGTTCTTTTGTCTTTATATTTCCGCTGCATGTTTGTTCAAGTGTCATAACACTTTCAACAACACCTCTGTATTAAACGAATTCGGGACCATAAATTCTTTCAACTTTCACTTTATGCTAAAGCAAAAGAAGAAAATGGAATATAATCGACAAATTATTAGCTACATCTCCACTCAATCTTATTACCAATCACATAGTGCAATCTGAGACACAAGTAGTGTTAGCTAGCGAGCGATAATGGCGGATGCTATCGTTTCCGTTGTGTTGGAGCGCATTGCAGCTCTCGTGGAAGAGAAGATCCGAGACGAAGTAAATTTGGTGAGAGGAGTTAAGAAGGAGGTTCTCAAACTTTCCGTTGATCTGAACACTGTCAGAAACGTGTTGGAAGATGCGGAGAAGAAGGGGTATAAGGAAAAAAGCATCAAAGATTGGCTGACGAGGCTCGAAAACACGACCTATGAAATGGATGACGTGTTGGACGAATGGAACTACTCCATTCTCAAGTTTCAGATCGAACAATCGTCTGATGGTGTTGCTGCTGCTGATGCTGTTGCTGATGTTGTTCCTCCTAAGTGCACGGTACGCTTTTGCATCCCTTGCTCGTTTTTATGTTTCAAGAAAGTTTCTGTACGTCGTGGAATTGCCTTGAAGATAAAACAAGTGAAAGAACGGCTTGATCTGATTTTGGCGGAGAAAGGTCAGTTTCATTTTAATGAGATCACGTCACAACCATCTGATCGTGAATCTTGGCGAGGTCAAACTACTTCTATCATCGACAAAGAGGAAGTTTATGGCCGAGACTTAGAGAGAGAAGCTCTGGTAAGCAAACTTGTGGGTGAAGGTGGTAGTAGCGAAGAAGGGTTAATAGGAGGTATACGCGTTGTATCTATAGTGGGTGTGGGTGGCCTTGGGAAGACAACTCTTGCTCAACTAGCTTATAACGATAGTCGAGTAATGAATTGTTTTGAGTTAAGAATTTGGATATCTGTTTCGGATCCTTTTGATGAGGTTGAGATTGCCAAAAGGATTGTGGAGAAAGCAGGAGGGCCTTTACCAAATACAATGGACTTGGATGGGCTGCTACAACGTCTAATAGAGTCTATTTCAGGGAAAAAGTTTCTTCTTGTTCTGGATGATGTTTGGACAGAAGACGATACCAAGTGGAAACCCCTGAAAAACGCTATCAAAAGTGGTGGACATGGAAGCAAAGTTTTGGTTACAACTAGAAACGAAAGGGTTGCAATAATGATGATGGGAGAGTTTATAAAGAATGATCAGATGATCCATCGTTTAGGAGTTCTCAATGATGAACATTGTTGGTCATTATTCTGTCGAATTGCCCTTTGTGGTAAGAACAAGGATGAATGTGAAGAATTTGAGAACACGGGTAAGGAGATAGCCAACAAGTGCAAGGGATTGCCACTTGCAATAAAGACTTTGGCAAGTGTTTTGCGTTTCAAGAATACATTGGAAGAGTGGGAGAGCGTGTTAAATAGTGAAATCTGGAAGTTGGAGGTTGTAGAAGATGACCTCTTCCGCCATTTGTTTCTGAGTTACAACGAGTTGTCCCCAACATTGAAGCGTTGCTTCTCGTATTGTGCCGTCTTTCCTAAAGATACCATAATTGAGGTGGATGAGCTAATAACAAGATGGATGGCAATGGGTTACCTAGGATCGAATGCTGATGATGACTGGAAAGTTAGAGGGAGAGGGTACTTTGATAATTTAGCAATGCGTTCTCTGTTTCAAGACTTTTATATGAAAGATGGCGATAAGATAAAATCGTTTATGCTGCATGACATTGTACATGATTTCGCTGAATTCCTGAGGAAGAATGTGGGATCAAGAATGAAGAACACAACTTGCAAAGACTGTAGCCCTTTGTTAGTTTCCCGAGTCGAAAAATATCGTAGCTTATTTCGGTGCAAAGAAGTTCTTGATCCACATATTTGTGATTGCCTGACAAGTGTGAGGTTGCTCGATTTAAGTTGTTGTGGCTTGCAAGCCATTCCGAAAGAAATAGAAAAATTGATTCACTTGAGGTGGTTGGACTTGGGTAATAATAAATTTGTTGGTGATGATCTCAAGTCCATTTGTAAGTTGTATAACTTGCAATTTCTTTGGGTTAATAGGTGCAGTCTAGAAGCAATTCCGGTGGAGATTGGGAATTTGAGTGAGTTGATACACTTGGACTTGAGCAAGAATAGAGGACTGAGAGAGTTGCCGGAGAGCCTATGCAATTTGAGAAAATTAGAGAGCCTGAATGTTAATGAGTGTCGTAGTCTGTGTGGACTTCCACAAGGGATCCACAAGCTGAAGAAGCTCAAACATTTGTATAATCAAAATACTCTTTCTCTGAAGCAATATCCACAAGGAATATCCGAATTAACGAGTCTAGTCACATTGAATAAAGTCCTTCCTTGTGATGGGAATAAGGTGGGGTGGTTGAAGAATTTTAACCGACTTAGCGGGGAAGTGGAGTTGTCAATTGAAATAAGCAGTTGTGGTGATTCAGTGGAGGATGCTCGTGAGGCGGAGTTGGGGAAAAAGATGCACATTCAAGAACTGAGAATATATTTCTCTGGATCAACAACAGCAATGGATGGCCGTGGCAAACAAGTGAAAGATACTTCTTCATCATCGTCGTCAACATCGGTTTCTAATGAAGTACTAGATGCTCTTCACCCACATCCAAACCTCCAACAGCTGACTATCAAGGCCTATAACGGCTCCCGACTTCCGGGATGGATCACGTCCCCCCTCAACCAACTCACATCTATTGAGCTCCACTTGTGTGAATGTCTTTCGTTGCTTCCGCCGCTGGGTAAACTACCGCTACTGGAGACTCTTTCGATTCAAGATTTATATGAATTGGAATATGTTGGACGGGAATTCTTGGGAATATCAACAACAACATCTTCATTGATGGGTACTATTGTTGGTGGCTTCCCCAAGTTGAAGTACCTGACATTTAGAGGATGTAATAACTGGAAGAAGTGGGAAGACATTGCGGTGGAAGAAGAAGATGATAATGTTGCTATCTCAATAATGCCTTGCCTGACGGAGTTGGAGATCACTGACTGCAGGAGATTGATGGATCTGCCGCAACGCCTCATGCGAAAGGTTTCATCATCATTGAAGGTGTTGCGTATTTATGGTTCCAAACTGGTAGATGCTCTTGAGCCACATCCAAACCTGCATAAGCTGAGGATCAAGGAGTATGAAGGCTCTCAACTTCCACGATGGATCACGTCCCCCCTCAACCAACTCACACATGTTGGGCTCTACGATTGTGAATACCTTGTGTCGTTGCCGCCGCTGGGTAAACTACCTCTACTGGAGACTCTTGATATTCGAAGTTTACATGAATTGGAATATGTTGGACGGGAATTCCTGGGAATAGCAACAACAGCAACAACTTCGTGTTCGTCGGGTACTAATAATATTATTGATGGTGGCTTTCCCAAGTTAAAAAAACTGACATTTTGGAGGTGTCCAAAGTGGAACAAGTGGGAGGACATTACTACTGCCCAAGAAGAAGAAGAAGAAGAGTATACAATAATGCGTTGCCTCACGGAGTTGACTATCGTTTACTGCAAGGGATTGACGGAGCTGCCGCAACACCTCCTGCAAAAGGTTTCATCATCATTGAAGATGTTGGATATTAGAGGTTCAACACAACTGGAACAAGTCTACAGGAACAAGGAGGGTCAACCCTGGAAATCCATTTCCCGCCACAATCCACACCTTCGCCTCTTCCGTCGAAATATTAGATAGTTCTTTCATCTTTCATTAATTCGATTCAGTTAATATCATGACCATTAATTAATTCCTTGTTTTTTTTCATATGTACGTATCATCAATATCACTTGTACTATTAGAATAGAGTTGGATAATGAATTATAACAACAACACTCTACTATTTCAGCCTAATCCTAATCCTAATATATTACTAAATTAAGCTACATATATATACATATTATTAATGGAGGCTGAAGCAATAACTACATAAAAGAAAATTAGTTGTGGCATGACCAAGAAATTAGATCCTGCCCCGGAAAATGGTGATGGTGCTGGTGATCGAGAAATCGGGTCGTCGTGCATCAACGAAATCACTTCCACCATTAATCTTTGCCCGTTTTTGCACCGAACCGGGTCGGAACTCACAAAGTACGCCGGGCCGGGTCGACCCAGATTGAAAATGGTGTTTCCATCGTCGAATACGGCGGAGATGGGGTGGGTTGAGTTGCAGTGGTAGTACCCCCATTTGTCTACCACCACCACCGAATCATTCTTGTACTCGAAACCTTGTTTTACAATAATAAATAGTTACATAAATATTAATGAAGATCAATTACATAAAATATAAGTTGAAATTATTATATATATATATATTTAAAATAAATAAAAAAGTACTTACGGAGAAAATCTCCGACATGGAATCTCACGGTTGATGCCCACCGGGTGTACATTTCAGTGTCGTTGGCTGCCGGCTGCCGCCAACCCTCGTCGCCGCCAACCATGAACTCCTCCGCCGCGGTGGCTGCTGGAGAAGAAGTTGTGATGGCCAGTATGAATAAAGTGGCAAAGCAAAAACTTGTAAAAGAAGCCATTAAAAACATGTGAATTTATTTTCGATTCTGAAGAGGTTTGTTTATATCACCATAGATATATATAGTGGGAGGAGGGATTTTCAAATACTGGAAGTAACCGGCAACAAAAGTGGTGGAGCACGGCGGTTATTGGTAGTTGAAGAAGGTCGTGGTGTTTGACTTGGTCTGAGAATTGTCCTACGTGGCCACATCATTTTTTTTATTTTTTTTTTAATGAAACACAATCAACTTGAAATTTTATGCTTCTTTGCACCTCTATATATAATATATTTATTATTTTCCAATAAAACGGACAAATTTGCTAGACACTCCTTATTTTGTACTTATTAATACAGCAATAACGAAGCCACAAAACAAGTTTGAGTTTCACAAAAATGAAATATTTAATCATACAATTAAATAAGCTTAGCATTTTTCTGTCAAGACTAGATTAATATAATATACAACAAAAAATAAACTCTTAAACCTTCTATGTACCCGAACATGCGTCTTTCCGGCTTTAATGGGCGAATTCGAGCTCGATTTCTGTTCTCAACGATTAGAAATTAACCAAAGAGAAATCAAATCAACCAATAAGAAGCGCGTCTCTATCTTTTACGACCATAATATTGCAAAATTTTCTTCGTGCCTGAAAGCTAGAAAGAAAGACGAACAATATCAAATATTTAATCATATACTTCTAGAACCTTAATCGATGAAATCCAGTAATGTATACATTTACAAATTAAAACGCGATACCTTATAGAAGCATGCGGATACACTTCAACGGTGAGATGCTTCCACGTCAGCAATAATATTTTGCAGCTGTAATAATTTTGCTGACCTGATATCAAGTATACTAGGTGGCATAGATTGAATAGATCCATGTAACTCAACCAAGTTAAAGAATTCTTGTTTGGTTAAACTCTTCTTCTCAATAAGATTGTCGACAACGGCATCCATAAGTCCTCGGTTTTGCTCAAGAATCTGTGTGAAGAAAGTCCGGAACAAAACCTTAGTATTTTGTCCATTAGTATTGTTTTAAGGGGTAATAATGTCTTTATGACGTACCGATTTAGCACGTTCGTAACAGATGTCGAGGATCCGCAGTGCCTCTGAATCAATATCCTGAAATCAAAATTTTGCATCTCAAGCATTAGCCACGTGCAGGGATATATTATTACAATAAAAATTATGAAAATTGAGCATTTTTTTATGTTTTTGGTACGAGATGTGATGAATGCATAATTTTTCGTAAGTCAATGATTTTTTTTTTCTTTTTTTGCAAGAATTTCAAGATATAGAAGGAAAATTACATTTATCCTATTTGCAGTCCAGAAGTTGTTCAAGCCGTAATGCTTCTCAGAAAGGCCGCCAAGAACTAAGGTCCGTGCAGCTGAACGAGCATTATCTGCTGTCTCTGCCCAGATAGTACTCAGCTGAAACAAAATAAAAATAAAAATAAAAATAAAAAATAAATCAAAGAAATAGTAAAACCATCTAAAATATAAGTTCGATAGGTGAAGGCATTGTCAGGTTAATTATATTCCAGCTTAGTACAGAACTGAAGATTTACACCCCTATTCTGCAAAACCTATTCCAAGAAATCACGGAATAATTTGCAAATTCAAGTATGGAAAACAAAATATAGGGTCTCGTTACCTGATGTTCGCCATAGAAAAGTCCGTCAGCTGCACGTGGTGCGAGTTGGACTGTAATGTGATCCAACAGAGATTGTCGGCTGTAAATATAAAATGCTAAGGTTTAGCACATGCATCTAAATACATATGAGAAAACGCATGTTAAACTTATAAACATCCCTTGAATTATTCTTTTAGGAGTATTATATAAAATTAGGTGACTATTAGTAAATTTTAGTTAAAATAGTACAAATCAAGACACATACAAGAAAGATAAACTAATAAACTTTTTTAGTAAAACTCTATATTCACTCTCAAAATTTCAATTGTATGGGAAAGAAATAAAAAATATGTAGAAGAAAAATTACAAAATTGCCGATAAAGGGTGGGAGAAAGGATACCTCAACATTCCTTCCTTAAATTTCATGTTGTCCATTTTCAGTCGTACATAACCCATTTCCCTTCCAGCTCTTGGAGAAATTGTCAACTGAAATAAAAATACAGAGAATGCAAAACCTTAAGTCAAATTTGTACGAGAGAACTGTGCCAAATTTGTATCCTCCGTATATATGCAGTAAGATTAGTGAAATTCTAAAGATCAAACCATTGCAGCGCTTTTAATGTATATAATATGCATGACAGTTTAAGAAGTAACGAAACGTAGCAAGTACTAAACATACAAACTCAATATTTCGGAGATCCGGAAAGTTGACAGCAACTACAGCCATAGCTGCTTCATTTATAGCTACTTGCTTCCACATCTCAGGGCTTCTGTCTTTTCTATCTAGCATTCCTCTTTCTTCTATTTGTGCAGCTTGTAACAAGTCATCAGTAGTAATCTGCCACAAGCACAATTATTAATAGGTAAAGCTATTAATACTCTCGAAAAATGTAACCCACATATGTGCCATTTTTTGTTTGAGGGCTGTAATTATACTCGTGTGACATACCCGAATAACATCTCGACACTAATTATTCATACGAAACATGCTTTGGTAGCAACAAGTAGATTTGACCAGTGACTAGAAGAACAGACGTTTTAAAATAGAAAACCAAGTACTTGCATTTCCATGTTAAATGGCCATGGACCCGCTCTTATACAAATCTTATATTATTCCAGTTTATTTCTCCTAATCAATCATTTGTAGAATTTTTCCACACCATTCAATGTTTTCAGCAATTCAAAGTGCATACCTCAGTTCTGCTATCACGCATCATATTTATGGCAGCAACTTCTATGATGTTTGCCAGCTCAGCACCGACCATTCCGTCGGTCATACTAGCAACAGCCATATAATCCACATCCGGGGCCATTGGTTTCTTTCGAGCATGAACCTAACACCAGAAAAAGAAACCATAACAAATTATATTTAAACAAATGATTATATATAAGAATAAATTTACACAGACAGCAAACCTTCAGAATCTCAACGCGGCCTATAACTCCAGGCTTGGGAATATATATTTTCCGATCGAACCTCCCAGGTCTGACAAGTGCTGGATCCAAAATGTCTGGTCTATTAGTCGAGGCAATGGTAATGACTTCACCTCTGCCTTCAAACCCATCGAGGCACACAAGAAGCTGGAGCATAGTTATGGTGTTGCGTATTAGTAACGACCCGTACATCATTTATCAATTGGAAACTAAAAGAAATACAATATGCGCAAGAAACCTGATTTAAAGTAGCATCACGCTCTTGTCCACCGGACCCCTTAATTAAACCACGTTCTCTACCAACAGCATCCAGTTCATCAATGAAAACAACAGATGGAGCCTGCATTAGTCACATAAAACTCGGATCTTATTGCCATTTCCATCAATAACTTAAACAGATGTTAGAAGTTAACGTCATTTGAATTATCATAATCGAATAAAGGAAGAGAAAGACTCACATTTTCCCTTGCATCTTGGTAAAGTGCTCGAACACGAGAAGCACCGACACCAACATATATTTCGACGAACTGAGATGCAGAAATGGAGAAGAAGTTAACACCTGCCTCACCAGCCACAGCTTTTGCTAATAATGTTTTACCCACACCGGGGGGCCCACAAAGAAGTATACCACCTGATGATTCCGACCCAAAATTAGGTCACAAAACGAGAAGGACGAATCATATTCCAAGAAAACATGTACTTAAAGTTAATGTTTCTAAGCTGGCCTCTAAACCAACTAGCATAAACTAACACATTGGGAGTTCAGCCGTTAACTGATTTCATATGTATGTAGGAAAATAGTTACCGTAAGACAAGATAAATAGTAACATCTAAGTTTGTCAATCACGGTATCTGACCTGGTATTTTAACTCCACGCCTTCGATACATTTCCCCATGTGTAAAAAACTTCACAACCTCCTCAAGCTCAAGTCGGATTTTCCCAAGCCCTGCAACATCCGTGAACTTCACATCGACACCCCTTTCCAAAAACTGCGGAAGCTTCTTACGTTGGGCCCGCCTCACACGAGCCCCCGACTTCATAAACTGCTGTGCTGTTTTCATGTAAGGATTATCTTCCCCTTTTCCTCCTTCCTCCCCCTCTTCATCACCATCCTCAATCCCCGCCATTTCCTTTTCAAGATCCCTCATCTTCTTCTTCTCGTCAGCCTCCGCTTTTTCTATTTTCAACCTATCATCATAATCCTTCTTCTGCTTTCTATAGTTGAGCACAACAGTTCGGTAAAATATATAGAAGAAGACAAACCCAAGTGCAGTGGAGACATTCGAATCACTAGCTAATCTCTCCCACACTATCGCCATGCTGTCTGAGCTCCTACGCGCTTGCCGTATTGACTCTTCGTACTTCAACTTTTTCATTTCCCTCCTTTTTTGCTTCTCCTCCATTTTCTTCTGCGCTTTTATGGCATTTTCCATCGTCTCCCTATCCTCCTTCATCTTCGCCAGCTCGTCGCTCCTCCTCCTCTTGAACTCCTCTCTCACCCTCTTCAACTCCAACGCCTTCTTCGACTGAGGCTTGGTCTTAAGCAATGAAAACATCCATAACGGGATTTTGGACAAGAACCCGAGATAAGGTTTCGGAATATCAGGGTTTTTCACAGATGGACTGTAAGCAGTCATACAGAGACCATCGATTTTCAACTCATCCCACTCTTGCCAAAACTTCGGATCACTCTCGACCGAAGGCAGCACGCTCCTAACAACCTTATTATCCTCTAAAACCACCAAAACTACCTCCGGCCGCTGCTTTAAACCCGCGTTCGGCGGCTTAACAATGTGCTTAATCTTGTTTTCCCTTTTCATATCCAATATTTCACTATAACCAAGTCTGTGGGATACAACAGGAAGCCCTTTTGTCCACTTCTCTAGCTCCTCAGGGGTTAGAGCTTCAGTCCTTTTCCCCAAACGCTTCTTTTCGGAAACTTTCGCCGCAGCTAAAGAGGGCTGCGGGAGTGAGGCTGAAATGACAGTTAGTGTTACAGAGAATTTGACTAAATCCAATGGTGCCTTCCTGAGTTTTGATTCTTCTTCTTTTTCTTCTTCTTCATTTGTGGTGATAGTTTCTGGGGTTTCAGTCAAATTACATGAAATTCGGGCAAGGGTTTTGGGTTTTGGGAAATTAGGGCGGAATAGGAGCGGAGGAGGAGGTGCGGGTGAGAATGGAGAATTGAGAATGCAATTGCCGGCCATGGAAATTGGCTTAGGCTAAGCTAATCGCATGGGGGTAGAAAAAATTATTCGCCGGTCGGAAAGTTCAGAATTCATACATTTTTATCCACCACCGTTAATTCCGATGATGGAGACGAAATTCGTATTGAGGAAGATAAAATGGAGCAATTTTGTGTATTTGTATGCGTGTTTTTTTTAGAGGATTGGTGGATGTTGCAGATGGAGGCTGCAGCGGCGTCGCCGTCGGTGCGCGGCGGAGATGGATATGGTTAATCGGCGGTGATGGCCCAAATGCCGGAACCCATTTGGCATACGCTTACAAGAATTTTTCCCTGCCTGCAAAAGCCCATCTGTATTGGGCCTGTTTCTGCAAAAGCCCATTTATATCGGGCCGGTTTCTTTTCATCATTTATTACATATAAAATAATATTTTATTATTTTATGACGTGGAAAATATTTATAAAATTTATATTTATAAATCATTCTCAAGCTATGTTGTACGAAAACTTTAACTTCTTAACATCTTCGGGTTTCGGAAACGTTTCGTGTCAAAAATTCAAAAACACGTGTCAAATACATTATGGGTCCTTTTATAAATTTCTAAAAAGTTAGAAACACGTGAGAATAGTAAATTTTCAAATAACTTCATTGTTTCCTAAATTATTTATATGATGTAACGAGCAATTGTAAATTGATTACTTTATAGTAAAATTTACTTTGACTATGTTTGTTTTAAAAATTATATAAAAAGAATTTATATATAAATAAAAATTTGTTCATATATTTTTAATATTTACACATTTCCTCCAAGTCCTCGTATCCTTATTTTCTGAATATGCGGTTTCCCAGTATTTGTTTCCCGATTTCCCTGTATCACCGTTTTCGTAGTTCACAACTATTTGAAAAAAAATAACTTATAAGTAAAGTCTTATTTCTAAATTAACTTCATGCAATCATGCCCCTCATTAATCACAATTTAAAATGAGTATCATACATTTATTTATTTATTTTAAATGTTTATTTTATATTAATTTAACCCACCTATGTTCATATGAAACATGATTTGAGCTTACATGTACGTAATTAAACAATTAAGTATTGTTTAGTTTAGCTCTGTACTGAGTTATTTGAGTTGGAATTTGAAGCACAAACCCTAGAAACACAATCCAGCAATCAATCCCATTATCACAATTCACAGTGAATCCAAATTTTTAATCTCTCAATCTACTTTTCATCCCTCTTATATTTCTCAATTCCCACCCCGGAATCATAATCAATCGGCTGAATTAAATAAATGGATTTGTCGTCGAAATTACCCAACCGCAGTTCGTCCGTCGACCTTCTGTTTTTCCTCGGTGCAATTTCACGCCAGGAAATGAGTTTGAAATGTGGATACACTGAATTCAACCATTATTTGTTCTCTGTGTGGGGGTGGGGGTGGGGGTGGAGGGAGGAGCGAGAAATTGGCTTTTTTTTTTCCCCTTTTTTTTGCGGTGAAAGTGGAAGCTTATGGGGTGGGGGTTGAGTTTGGCAGATTGGAGTGGGTTAATTTTTTGATGGGGTTCAAAGTGAATTTGAATTCAGGGATGGCGCCTGGTTTTAGCCATCTGGAGGATTTCTGGAGGTAATATTTCAGTCATTTCTCTTTTTTTTTTAATGCTGTAAATTTGATGCTTTTTGTTTGTTTAGGTAGGCGTAAATACGGAAAGTATTAGTGCCATAAGCTTTTTATTTCCATGGATAATTACGTAATTATTGTTCATTAATTACTTGTATGACAGTATGTCAAAGTAAGAATGTTTCTTACCTGGCCCATTTATGAGTTGTTGCTGGTTACATGGTGGAAATTTTCATTTAATGCTTGGACGGTGTGTTCTTGTTCTGAAATAACGGGAATTAGCGCACTTCTAATGTGATTGCGGCGGTTTTCATTTGCATTGCCGTGCTCGTGTCATGCTTCAAAAAATTTGAGTGTTAAAAAACCAGTGGTAATTTTTTGAACAGCTGTGATAAGAACACAAAATAGGTTGGAGTAGTTGGAGATAGGACAAGGAGTATAAAGTTGACATACTTGTGTATTTGGGAGTTGTGAGAAAGCTTCACTTTCTTTGCGCAACTCTGGCGCAGCATTTAGGCACCTATTGAGAAATCTCAAAATCCGTCATTTTGGGATTCATATTTGCGCAAAAAAAGCTCGAAAAAAAATCACAGTTAGCGCACCTCTTTCTCCTTTTGAGCATCCTGCGGATTCTCTAATCCATCTTTTCATCATAAATAATACCTATAAACCAATAAGCTATCTAAAGATCTGGACCTTCCAAATAGATTCATTTCCCCTGTCAACCATTTGGTAGTAGATTGAATATTTCATAAATTCCAGACTTACATGTTTCTTATCTAGAAATACCTCCATTCAAACTCAAAATAGAATTTATAACAATTCTGAAGCAATGACATAGTCCTAAGGTTTCAAGCACCTTCAGAGAATTCTAAAATCACTGCCGTGGACAAAAGAGTAAGGTGAGTCTTTTGCCATTCATGTATTTTGGGTATAAGGAACTTTATTAGATTGATGAGCTTAATTAAACAATTTAGTGAATTCCAACCATTACTTTTTCTTTGTTGAGAATTTGAATAGTGAAGGAGCTTTTTCTTAGTTCTTATGGGCTGGGGCTGGGTTGGCAGATTGGACAGGGTTAGAATTTGATGTGGTTCAAATTGAATTCGAATTTAGGTATGGAGCCTATTTTAGCTATTTTGAGGATGTCGGGGGTAATAATTCAATTATCTCTCTTTTTTTTTTTAAATTGTGTAAATTTTATGTTTTTTGTTTGTTTTAGGTAAGTGAAAGTGCAGATAGGATTAAACTAAAAAGCTTTTATTTTCCATGGATTATGTGCACTTATTATTCATAAATCATCTCTTTTTTTCCTTTGCTCATTTGACTGTGTGAAAAGTAAGAATATTTCTTCACTGGTGCAGAGATGAATTGTTGCTGATTTACATGGTGTTTGTGAAAAGTGGGAATTCATTCTTATCTTTCGACCATTTGGTGGTGGATTGAAGGTTTCCTAAATTCCAGACCTACATGGTGTTTTTTATCTAGGAAAACCGCCCATTCCAATTCAGAATAGAGTTTATAAAATCGCTGCTGTGGACAGGACAGTAAGGCGAGTCTTTTGTCATTCATGTGTTTTGGGTGTTAACTTTACCATTTCTCTTTTTGTGCATGTTTTGTGCTTTCTTTTTGTGATTTGTGTGCCTTGATGTCTCAGTTCAAGTGTCTGGGCTGCTGATATTCTCGAGGCATGTATACAACTTTTTCCTTATTTTCAAAATTTTGAGCTTCTGAAATCTTTATTTTGTTCCAATACCCTGTAAATAATTACCTCATCCAAAAGCATAAATTTTAACAGAGGGTATAATTTTTTATCTTGATGACTTAAAACAACAATTGTGTAGTTGGTTTGGTTGCTTTTTAAAGTGCCTCTTGTCTACAAAAGTTAATTTTTCCAACATAATTTGAGGATTTAAAAAATGGTGATTTTTTGCAGGATTAGTGCACTAGCAGTGTTGAAACTGAGTTTCTCGCGGGAAATAAAAGGGGTATTATTGGAGCATTCCGTGATAAATAATGATGAACGACGATGAGCTCTTGGTTTCCTTCTTTGTGAGTAAGACGACATCCACATCTACCGACGATGTTTCCTCGAGTGTTCGTCGACCTTTAAGGAAAGGAGTGAGCTCGAAAGGCCGACCCAGTAAGCCAGAGAGACGTCCAGAGCAAACACGGCAAAAGAATTGGCCTTCCACTAGAGCCAGAACAATTTTATCTTGGTTAATTCATTCAGGGGTTGTTTCCCTGAATGAAGTAATTCAGTTTCAAAACCCTGAAGACAACGCGGTTCTGAAACAAAGTATAATAACCAAAAATGGACTGTTGTGCACATGTTGTAACAAGACGCTCTCAATCTCCGATTTTTCTGCACATGCTGGTTTAAATTCAAAATGGCCTTGCATGAGTCTTTTCATGGAATATGGAAAGTCATTAATCTTATGCCAGCTTGAAGCCTGGTCAGCAGAATACAAGGAAAAAAAATCCCCCGGTGAATTTAGTCAGGTTGATGAAGGTGATGATATATGTGGCAAATGTGGTCTGGAAGGTGAATTGGTGATGTGCGATAATTGCCCAGCCGCATTTCATCAAGCATGCCTGTCTGAGCAGGTTTGAATTTGCTTACACCCATGATCTCGGTCGAGTCGCTTTCCTTTAATTGTTATTTTTGTATTACAGTTTGACATGGATAGTCCACATCTTCTTTCCATACTTGATTTTATTCTTGCTGTAGTACTTTTGAAAGCAGCTCGAAATACCTACTTGAACAAGGATACGGTCTGTCTTACTATCCTACATGTGGGTGATTTTGCTATTACAAGCGAGTTAGACGGATTGAAATGAAGTGGTCTCTTATCTCATTTTAGCTTAGGAGAAGAAAAGTGCACTAAATTTCTATTAATTTCACGTCCTAATTTGGATGAGTCTTCTCCTGCTAAGCTAAATTAAGTTTTAACTCATAATTGAGAAACTAGTTTCTTTGACGTTAACTATTTATTATTATTTTTTAAAAGTTACATAAGCTGTTGTCTGTTTATAGAATTATAGGGTTTTAAAAGAACAAAGTTAAAAAATATATTATAGAATGTATGTGAAAGAGAGGCTCGGAGTAGTTCCGGTAGATTTGTTCTGCCTCTTCTAATCAGTGTAAGATCTGAAAGAATGGTTCTAATGTAGCTGCTGAAGTAAAACTTTCTTAAAAGGTTAATCTAATTTCAAGAGCAAATTAACCAAGTTTAGTTTAATTATCATATGCTATATATCATTACAAGATCGGGTGTTTTAAAGCTCAGTTTGGAGTTTTTGGTTCTCGTAGTCTGCTGAAGAAGCTCAAACTTCTTATATCGGAAAATATCTGAAAACTTTTTTCCGAAATTGAATGAATTCAAACAGAAGTATATAAACTCTGTGTCACTACTCTATCACTAGTTTTTGGTGGATGTCTTTTCCCTTGTATATGCTGCTCATAAAATTATTTATTGCATTTAGAGTATTTCTATTAACATCTAACTACTGATAAGTGTGAATTTTACCTCCAAAGATTTTCAAACTTAATGAGAGGACCGTTTCAATGAGGAAATATGTAGATACTCCGCACGTGAACTTGTTTCTAGAAAGTGTAAATCTCTTTGTAAATCACCATATACTTCTAGAATTAAATGTTCTCTGAATCAATAAAGGAAAAAAAAATTAGGAAAATGAACCGGTCAAGCTCATACGTCATAAGTCGTAAGACATAAATATATCTATTTCAGTAAATGCTTTCCCAGATAAATGGCACCCTTAAAGTATAGGGCTGGTAACACTTACCCCCTTAAAGTTACAAATGTAACACTTGCCCCCCTCATTAATGAATTTAATGATAAAACTTTGACTTTGAATGATGCGGCATTTTTTATTCCCAAATTGTCCTTCTAGCTATTATATTAATGCATATATTATAATATATTTTCAATAATATTTCAAAAACTAAATTTTATAAAATGTAATAATTATTAAAAAAATATTTTGATTTATGTTTAAACCCACATTTTAATTACTATAGACCCTAATATAAATAAAAATCTCAATATTTTTAAAAAAATATTTAAAATACGTTAAAAATTTGCAAGAAAAAAATAATTTCAAGACTTAAACGTCCAATTTTTTTTATAATAATTATTGATTTGAAAATTTATTTCAGTTACTTAAATATAAATTTCAATAAAAAAATATTTAAATATTTAGACATTTAAATTATAATTTCTTATTAACTTTTGAATACATTTTGTGATTCTCAAAGTAAAAAGTCGGATATTTATATTAGAATTATATACGCATTAATATAACTATATACACTATAAAAATATTATTAAAATTCGAATAATTGTTAACTTTTTATTAGCTACAAATGAACACAAGGTAAAACAAAAATGAAACTAAAATTCAATTTTTTTCATTCGTAAATTTACAATATTGAAATAATAAAATTAAGTTTTTGCAAAGTTGCCGAATTTTTTATTATTACATATTCATTATTTATATAATGGCTAGAAGGATAATTTGGGAAGAAAAAATGCCACATCATTCAAAGTCAAAGTTTTACCTTTAAATTCATTAATGAGGGGGGTAAGTGTTACATTTGTAACTTTAAGGGGGTAAGTGTTACCACCCCTATACTTTAAGGGTGCAAACTGTATTTAGCCCAACATATTTTACGTTGGTTCTTCGTCAAAATGCAGCTGCATGCAAACCAAAATGAATTATTGCTTAAGACATGAATTATTGGTTAGTAGAGTTTTACCACTAGATATGTATGGAATTTCCAGTTTTTTTCTCCATACCAAAGTATATAAAGAGACTTTAATAGCGGAAGGGCTTGATTTCAAGGAATCATAACTCATTGACAGTTGTCATTTTGCTTTTAAACTGATGAATATTTCCCTTTGGTATCTCAACTGCACTTTTACGTCAAGTCGTTAACTAATTTGACCATTTATACGTAATAAATTCTTCGTATAGCTTTTTTTCTGGAATTCAAAGATCTCGTAATATGAGTAAAGAATACCTAGAATATCCATTTTATCAGCACATATTTCTTGCTTTTTATGTTGGCCTTTTAGTGAGTCTGCAAATTTAGGTACATCGAAAGTTGAACTGACGTATTTAATTTTCTGTCCTGAAGATTCCTGAAGGAAACTGGTATTGTCTACAATGCCGCTGTCTCACTTGCTGGGATGTGGTCAGTGATCAAACTGCTTCATTTTCTGCTGGTACTTTGAGATGCTCACTGTGCAAACATAGCTGTAAGTTACATCTTTGTTAGTGGTGGATTATTTGTCCAATTTCCGTACACCGATTGTTTACATTGAAAAGGCTGCTGTGATTTGTTTGATTTACATTAATTTAATAAATTTATGAGAAACAAGATCCAGAGACCGTATTTCTCGATTACTTGTGCATTTCTTTCAAGTGCTTCTTGTTTGCTTTTGTATCTCATCAACGTTCTCCCCCTTCTGCATGCATCTTTTATATGCAGAAGATCATAAACATAGAACTGTGGAATTTTCTGTTGACTATTGATTGCTGAATGATACTGATTAGCTAATGCTTGTTGTACAGATCACGAGACGTGCATCGAAGGGAAGTATGCAAGGATTGGGAGCTCACATAAGTGGTTCTGTGGAGTAAGCTGTCACAAGGTATTTTTTTCGAATCAGTTAAATTATTAATAGATCAAATAATACTATAAAGATTTGAAGCCAAAATTTAAGAACCAACGTGTTGAATTATTTCAAAGATTAAATAGTTTTACTTTATATTATAGCAAACGGAGCAATAATTTTGGGACTAGTATATGTGGGTGTTATACGGTTGACTTCCGGTTTCTCTGTTTGTGCAATAATTTTGGGACTAGTATATTTTGGGAATTAATTAATAATTTTGTTTCAAACTTGTTCCTCATTTAAATCCTTTTGAGTATGAATGTGTTAATCGAAAGTATGCATAAGTTAGAAGATGATAGAAGTATGCAAGCACTTATATTTATGCTCCCGTCGGAATCTCATTTATTGGAAACTTCGATATTTTAGATTTCTGTTTTAGGATAATACATTGAGTGAATATTTTTGTCAATAATTTGAATTATTCTCGTCTGCGCAGATCTACAAAGGTCTTCAATCTCGCGTTGGATTGATGAATGACATCAGTGATGGAACCTCTTGGAGACTACTACAATGCATTAATGGCGACTTTAAAGCACATTCGTCTATGGACTTTCTTGCTTTAAAAGCCGAATGCAACTCCAGATTAGCTGTTGCCATCACAGTTATAGAAGACTACTTTCTCCAAATGGTGGATCCAAAAACCAAAATAGATATGATACCGCAAACAATATACAACTGGGGGTAACTTTTATAGTTTTACGTTCACTTTTTACGATAATGAGCAATTGCATTCATGTCTATGTTTCCATTCTTTTCTTCTTCTTCTTTTTGGTAACATTGTTGAAGCATCGGTAGGTATTTTGATTGCGACATTTTACCGAACGGAATATAATGATTTGTTATGCTTTTCTCAGATCACAATTTCCTCGACTGGACTTTGAAGGATTTTTTACTATTGTATTGGAGAAAGAGGATGTTATGGTGTCTGTGGCATCAATCAGGTATTCAATACCCCCCATGGGTTTGGTTGAATTATTAAAAAATTTATTAATGTAAACGCAATCGTTTGTCCAAATTGTTTATTTGCGTTTTTCTTGGTAAACTTGTAAAATTTGGTCATTTTCTTAAAAGTATTTAATTGGATTAGATTTGATTGTCAAATAGTAAGAAAGATTAAATTATTAAGCACACAGTTGGACATTTTGTGTTTGAGTGGTTAAACACAATGACTTATTTTATCGATCAAAATCAAATACTGCCGTATTAAATATGAATTTCATTTTGGTAGAACAATAATAGCAAAAATAAAGCTGCATTGTAAAAATAAGAAAGGAAGAGAACTCATTAAGAATTATAATAAAAATAAAATATTGAATTAAATGGAGAAGAATGGCAGAAGTCCAAAACACAGTAAAGTTGAAGCTGAGATTTTGTTCTATAAGTAAAACGAATCAGGGAATCGGATGACACGAGTGTATTCTCGAATAGGTAGGTTGAAACTGATAAATGTGAACGTTAATATGATAGTTTATTACAGCCTATAGAGTCTTATTGAGACAACGTTAAGCAGCATTGACATTGAATAGAATATTTATTAGTTACGAGAACAACACCAAAACTCGTACTAGGTTAAGAAAAGTCGCAAATGAGATTCAAATCAAATGGATTTTTCGACTAGAACTTTTTTTTTTTTTTTGTAATTGAATCATTTTTTTTAATGAAGTGTAGTCATAAATGGATTATGTACTAAGGAGTTTATTAATTTATATATTTCGTGGGGTCTATATGAATTATCGTACATGTATTATCTTATAAATCTAACAAACTATTAATTTACCATCTTGTCCCCAAGTCGGGGTGGACCAAAATTATTACTTGCACTCGATTATTAATCAATCGAGTATTAAATTAGTGAAGTTCAGCGAGGGTTATTGAGCTGTTCATATCTCACTAAGTTTCCGTAATATATTTGCTTTAATATTCAAAATTTAAAGACAATTGCTAACTTAATGAGCTGTTAATCTGCAGAATACACGGGAGAGATGTCGCAGAGTTACCTTTTGTAGCTACTTGCAGAAAATTCCGGAAACGGGGCATGAGTCGACTCCTTCTTTCTTCTATAGAAGAGGTAATTTATTCCGTAAAAAATCACGTTGGAACAGATTTCGAAACATACTAGGTACAAAACACGTGTTGCTAATTTATTTTTGCTTGGTAATAATTGTGATTGATTAATGCGTTTGATGCATAGTTCCTATATTTGCATATTTTGTACGTAAATTCCTATTGTTGGAATCTGTACATCTTTGGCAAATAAACGAATACCTTTGTTCTGCAATTAATACAGAGTTTTTATTGTGGATGTAGATGCTTAAAGCGTCAAAAGTCGAGAAGTTAGTACTACCTGCATCAAGCCCCGAGTTAGTCCAGACATGGACAAACAAGTTCGGTTTTCAACATTTGGACGAGGATGATAAAATAAGTCTAAAGAAAGTCAACTTCATGCTGCTTCCCAACTCCACATGGCTTAAGAAGCCTCTCGTGTAATCGGGAAAAAAAGAGATGGTGAGAACTTCACTTGTTATTTTCCCTAACTTGGTCCGAAATGACGATAATTAATTCATCAAGAACCGATGAATACATTTTTGCAAAATCGATTTTGTTGTCATCTTTCAGACACTTGTGATGGTCTGAGTTTAGGTTTTTAACTGTTGGAAATTATATTTACTAGGGGTTGTGGTTAGGTAGAACCTAATGTAATTAGGTGGTTAGTTATTAGTTAAGTAGTTGAAGTTAGAATCAAACTCTCATCTTAATTTACATTAACAATAGTTGTAGAATTTTGTATTCAAGTGTTGAAAGTGGTTTATTCAACACTTCTCGTCATTTTCATCAATTTACCATTAGCACGTCAGTTAAGATAGTGATATGCACACATGCTTAATTCCGTTCGGTACTAACGGAAAATTGACGGGGAAAAGGACCAAAAGTGTTGAATTTCTAAAACATAAAGGTCTAAATGTATTTTTTTGTGAACGTAGGGACCAAATGTGAAATTGGAACAAATTTGGGACGGAAAACTAAAATTTTCCCTCCCAAAATCTAAATATATATCATTAAGTAGCAACAACAATGTAGCAATTAGTGAATTAGGTTCCATCATTTAATCATACTTCTTAATCTGGAAATGGTAGATAATTAAGACAAAATTACTAGGTTTACAATAACAACATAGGACAAATCAAAACCTAGTACTTGGACAGCCAAATAACATCAAGAACAACAGATACAGCCAGCAAGAAGCAGCTGAAGAAAGTGAATGCAATCGAAACAGCGACACGATTGCAAAAAACGTGCAACGGTTTGCAGAAATTGGGTAGTGCCGAATGATGGATACCCGTTCGATTTAGGTTCGTTACGCCCGAAGCAGCCGATCCAGCACTCATCATAGCATATGCAAATATCTGCAGATTAAAAAAAACAACTCTTCTATTAATTGGATTATTCAAAAACGACAAATTTATTCATCCGGTGTTGTATTACCTGATCTCCGGCAAAAAGGAGCCAAGCGTGGTTTCTAGAAGGAATGACGGGAGACTTCCGGAACATTCTGGAAACGGTGATTAGGAGTTGAAGCAACGAATGAACCGCCACAGCGGCCGAAACTCCGACCAGATACCTGATAATACATAGTTGGCACAATTAGAAGTTTCACGTTAACACACTTTTCATCGAAAATGCATACGTCGTTTATCATTTTTAAATTAATTATATTATTTATCGATCTCGTATAATATGTTCATTTTATTTCACTCTTGCCATTTTTGTTGGCATTGGTTTTTCTTAAATGTAGGTTAAAAGAGGTGATATGAGAGTGCGTGACCTAGAAACACACACACACACACACACACACACACACACAGATGAAGTTCACGGGTGCTTGTTTTTATTAACCTATCTGATGACGTGGATCACGGGTTTTTTTAGAATGAAGACCAACAAATGAAATTAACTAATTTATATTCTAAAATACTGCTAATTACTAATGCTGTAAATTCAAAATTGTAATAATTAATCCAGTTTCTTTCTAAAATTAAACCATTTTGCAAAATAATAATCATTTCATACTATGTTGCAGTATTTCATGCATTAAATAAACAATCTCAAAAAAAAAAAAAAAAACATGTAAAATTCAACAGCAGTAACATATTATCTTATTATTATTCTCTGATGTAGATAATTTCTGAAGAAAATTAACGAGGGCAAGAAAGTCCTTTCACGGAGAACTTACTCGAAGGAATCAGAGAAAGACCAATTGGAGTACAAAGGAATGCTGAATCCGTACAGAGAAATGGTGGAAGCCTCCTTCGCCGTCGTCATCACCGACACCGCCGTCACGCTGGTCAACAGGCACACCATCCGTACGGCTGCATGCGTGACGTCACCTTTCTTATGATGTGCATCCCCCATCCTCCTCCTCCTTCTCTCCGCCCTTTCCCCAACCAACGGACCGCTCATTGGGCCGCTCTCCGCCGCCGCCGTCACCTTCGTCTCCGGCAGCTCAATGCTCACCTCCGCCGCCGCCCCCCCATTCTTCATCTTTTTTTCTTTGGATTATTAATTTCTCTCTGGTTGGAAATTGGAATGGTGAAACACTGAGTAGTAAAAATTGTTTCTTGGTTTCGAGAGAAGAGTTGTTTAAGAATGGAGGAAAGGGACACGTGGCGGGAAATGGGAGAGGGGGGTCAAAGGGGGGGGGGGGGTCAAACGAATTGACTAGTGTCTAATGGGGGAAAGTGCAGCCCCGTGATTTAATAGTACGGTGAAATTATCGATGTTTGTTTCTCTCTCACCTGGTTTGCACGTGACTATATAGAGATTTACACGTCATTTTTTTTATATTTATCTCATTAACAAATTCAAATATTCAAGATCCTAATTTTGTCTATTTATGCATAAGAAAAAACCGTATTTAATTTCACAAATTATAATGTTTTCTTGACTATTAATCTCACAAATTCCACAAGCATGGATTAGTTACATATTGAATAAAATTAAATAAAAAAAAACCATTAAATTGACTGAAATTTTGATGCATGTATATAACATATATATATATTCCTCTTACATTCATCACAAACATATCACATATAGAATAGCAAAATAAAATTTGAAGGATTAAAACCTCAGCACCTCAGATATACCTCTTCCAAAAAGCACAAATACGAAGCGGCGAAAAGAAGAAAAAAAACGCGACACATTTTTTGAATTAGACGCCGAACATTAAATCCATAACTTTAGAAACCATTGATTTAGCAGGTGTGGCCATGGAAGTACCGGCAGATTGACGAACATTGGAACTGCCGTTTTGGAGATAGTAAGGGTAAGGGGAGACTCTGAAACCGTTAGACTCGGGGTTTCTACTGGAAGGAGCTGGCGGCAGTGTCATAAACCCTTGATTGTTCAGCCTCTCGTTTAGTGCCTGCCGCTGCATTGGATCCACAAGCTTCACTCCTATTATGAGAACTCCGTTTATTTCCATCCCGTTTTTGCTGAGTGCTTTATGAGCATCCGATCGATTCTGAAACCGTAAAAATACTAAGAAGGTTAATGAAAAGTTGGCATCAAGTATTTAAATCTCCAGCCTAAGGAAATAATATCGAGGTAAAAAGGTCTGCGAAGAGCTAACATGATGATTTACAGACATATATATAAAGTTCGAAACTGTACCATATTAATGCAGTGACAGTTTTAAAGGAATTGGATTAAGAATTAAAAAAACATATAAATTGATGAAAGAAATATCAGCCTGTAGTAGTAGGAAACGAACCTGATATAGAATGTGCATCCAATTAGCATCTCTTGGGCCAGGAACATGTTTCAGAATCACCCCGCATTTTTCAACTCCCTCAGCACAAGATCTGTTTCCAACTCGCTC